GGGGGGGGGGGGGGGACGGGACGATCTTTGCCATCTCTGCCTTGGATCAGCCCTAATCTAAGGGGAGACAGCACTGCAGTTGGACAATAGTGGGGTGGGGTGGGATGGGTCAAGATAAACTTCACAGTCTTCAGGGTTTTGCCAGGGACTAATTGTATTGGGCAGCGCCAGGAAAGGAAGGAAGAGGAGGAGGGAATGAGAGAGGGAGAGATGGAGGGAGGAGAGGAAGGAGAAAGGAAAGAGGAAGGGAGGAAGGAGGGGGTGGCAGTTAAAATGGATTCAAGAACTGCCCACAGATAATACATAAAGTGGCTAATCTGAGTCTGGGTAATCAAGATTTGTTCACAGGTACTGAAATGAGGCAGGATCCAGCCTCAGAGCTTCTGCATTGGCTGTTCCCTCTACCGGAAATGGCTTCCCCCTCATACCTGCAAAGTCAAATCCTTCACCTCCCGCAGGCCTTTGTTCAAATGTCACTTTCTTAGTGAGGCTTCATGACCGTATCACCTTCCCCTGCGCAGACTTCCTATTCCCTTTCTCTGCTTAATTTTCCCCCTTATTTTTTCTCTTAGCCCTGGAATCACCCAGAGAGTTTAACAAAACGCCACTGCCTAACTCTTCACCAACACACTATGCATTTTGGTTGTTTATTTTCGGTCCTTTTCACTAAAACGGATGCTTCGTGAAGGCAGAGATTTTTGCGTTTCATTCACTACTGTAACCCCAGTGCCAAAAAGTGCCTGGTGCACAGAAGGAGCTTAAATACTTGTGAATGATTGGATGGATGAGTGACCAAGCCCTGAGAAGAGGAGGGTGAGATTCAGCCACACCCTTCTGGGTACTGAACCCCCCCCCAGCCTCAGTCCCCTCTTTGAAGCAAATGTGCAGCCTGCTGTGGAGGAGGGGGACCACATCCAGGCCTTCAGCCAGAGTGCAGTTTGTGTTTTGTGTTTTGTGTTGGGAGCACATACCCCACACACCAATCCCCTGCCACTTACCATCTTCTACCCGAAAAAACCAAAGCATTTCTTCCAGCAGCTCCTGAGGCACCACAGTGCCAGCTGGGGCTTGGATAACTCCCTCACCGTGGTGCATGCCCTGCTCCTCGTTGGGATACATTTCTGACAACAAAGTCCTTAGGCCCCTTCAGCTACTCAGCCGTCCTCTTGGCCTCCTAGGTGCTGGTCCCTGAGCAAAGCCCTGCAGACCCCTGGAAACAAAGCAGAGAGCATGACCCGTAGCCCACCCCAGCGTGAGCTCCCCTCCCCGCCCAAACCCATCTCCCCTCTGGCCCGAAGTCACAGGACCAGAACAGCCTGACTCCAGAGCAGTGGGGCCTGGAGAGGCAGAGACCACGGACTTAAAAGTCACCCAAAGCTTTATTAGAACCCAGCATGCATGGGGAAGGGGACTGACCTGTGAAGAAGACTAAGCCACTGGTGGGCTGTGGGACCCTGGCAGGGGACATTGCCTGTTTTCCCCTGCTTGGCATCACCAGCCAGCTTCTACAGCCCACAGCTCCCCTTCACTCTGGCTTCTTAGCAAATTGTCCCATCCTTTGCCATTGATTTTTTATATATATATATTTTATTTTAGAGAGAGAAGAAAGGAGAGGGATAGAGAGAGAGAAACATCGATGTTTAATGAAAGAGAAACATGATGAAAGAGAAAGATCACTGATCAGCTGCCTCCAGCACGCCCCCTCCTGGGGATTGAGCCTGCAACCTGGGCATGTGCCCTGACCTGGAATCGAACCAGTGACCTCTTGGTTCATGGGTTGATGCTCAACCACTGAGCTATGCCGGCTAGGCACCGTTGATTTTTTTGTGGTAGCCACTCACAGGTCCCACATGAGCAATGGTTGGGCCAGTCATCTGGAGACTGGCATGCCTGCGACCCAGGGCTGAGTGAAGAGAAAGTGCCAGGAGTGGGTAACTGTCAGCTACTGCTGCTGAGAGCTGAGAGCTGTCTCTCCTCAGCGGCCGCCCCACCCCTAGGCCTCATTGGTCAGTGCTGCCCTCAGTTCAGCAGCCCCCTGATAACTTCTATTTTTTTTTTTTTTTGACATGTTATAAGAATTGTTTTGTCATTTGCAGTGGAAGAAACTGAATCCATGCTCCCTGGCTAAATCTCTTCATTAATTTCAGCCTGTTTCCATCCCCACAAAACAAAGCATGTTAAGCAATCTGTTGTTTACCAAGTCAGGTGTTGAATCCTAGTAATAAAAAATAATAGACAATTCCAATTTTGGATGTTGACATGAGGCCACATCACTATATCAAGGGATCAGAACAGAAATTTTGTAGAGACCTATGTACACGTGGGAACTTGATGTATAAAGAAGGTAGCTCTATGGACCGGTAGGGAAAGAAGGAATCATGAGTAGAAGGTGTCAGGAAAACTGGCTCACTGTGTGGAAAAGAGGAGGACTGGAGGCACGCCTAACAAACAGTACATACAAAAGCAGGCTCCACAATTAAAGGCCTAAATGTAAGAGGGGGGGGAAAAGTTAATAGAAATTGGGTAAAACTTTTTAAACAAAACCAATACTAACTCAAATCATTCAATAACAACAAAAAATAGATGAATTTGATCATATCAAAAAAAAGATGATCTGTTCAGTGATTACCATCAATGAAGTAAATAACCTTTCTGCTTGGGACAAGAGACATGCGGTGCCTAAGACCAGGAAGAGACTGATATCTAGGATACACAAAGAATTATTGCAAATTAACAAGAAAAAGACAGGAACACTAATAAATGGGTAAAGGATCTAAACCCGCAGTTTACAAAATAGGAAACCCAAAAGGCTAACAAGCACAGGAAAAAAATGCTCAAACTCTTTAGTAATCAGAAGGATGAAATTTTAAAATGAAATACCCCTTGACATCTATTAGAGCATCATAGTTTGAAAGATAAATAATGCTGTGTGTTTGTGAGGCTCTGGGCCATAGCCTCATGCACTGACGGGGAGTGTAGGTTGGGGCAGCCATCTGGAGAGCAAATTTTCCCCAGTAAGTGTGAACACAGCCGCTCTGCTCCCAAGTGTATGTGTAATACAGATACACACACACATATATACGTATATATGTGTGTGTGTATCCCTAAAAAATTATCCCTCAGGATCATAGGGGACATGGCATACTATTTATAAAAACACAAAATATATGTGCACAAAACACATATTTTACAAAAACACACTTAAAAAAAGACACACATTAAACACATTAGCATAGTTCTTTCTGGGGGAAGGGGAAAAAGGGAACAAGAAGGGAGAGAAAAGTAACTAAATAAATGAAACAGGAGAAGGCATTTGAAGAGTCCAATCATNCTGGGGGAAGGGGAAAAAGGGAACAAGAAGGGAGAGAAAAGTAACTAAATGAAACAGGAGAAGGCATTTGAAGAGTCCAATCATGGAAGCATGTCATGGGGCACATGTCATGGGGCTAATGACAACGAGGCCCCCGGCTACCCCGAGGTCCCCTGCTCCCACACTGCCTTCCAAACGACCTTCGGAGGCTCAGCCAGGAACATTAAAAAACAACTGGATGGCAAACAGCCAAACAGAGAAACAGAGCCGGAAAAAAACGGACTTGATCGACATCAGCATTTCCTCAACTCTAAATGCTCTGAGAAAACTGAAGCAACATCAACAGGTTTTGAGGGGAAATATTTTGACAGAAATATAATACTGAGCTAAGTTTTTCACATGTGAATGATCATTCGCGTGCCAAGGTGGAGATGGAGTTCAGGGAGAAAGGAAGACCTTGTTTAGGCTTCCGAGGACTCTACTTACCCTTCTGAGGGCTATATGTATATATACTGAATAACGAGAAGACAAAGTTACAGGGATGGCTCACCAATGTGATCCTGTTTCTGGCTCCAACTGTCTGTCCGGAGCACTTGCTAAGAAGGGTTGAAACTTTCTGTCTAATCTCAGATGCAGGAGTGCCTGGATTAATTAGTAACATCGCCCATAGGCCCCTGTCCCATATGTAGACCTCCCCACACCCACAGAGGGAAGAGTGGGAAGGTTGAGAAACCAAATACCAGCTCCCCCTGGGGAGGCGGGATGGGGCCTAGGCTCATGGGAACACTTCGAGTACTTCTGTATTGTATACATTTCTCAGGAGTACACACCACCTTCATGAAAACAATACATGGGATTATTATGTATCTTAAATGTATGTATTTTTGTATGTACATTTTAAATATATTTTTCTATATTTCTATGTATTTTCAAGTATATGTGTATATTGTATTTATACCTTATGGGACAACAATTCCAATTTTGGATGTTTAATTGATAAAACCAATCAACATGTCAGTTCTTCCCAACTTGACCTACGGATTTGGTGCAATCCCAATAAAAATCACAGCAAGTTATTTTATGGAAAACGACCAAATGTTTCTAAAGTTTATATGGCGCAGTAAAAGACCCAGAACAGTCAACACAATACTGAAGAAGAGGGAAGTCAGAGGACTGATGCTACCCAACTTCAAGACTTACTATAAAACCGCAGAAATCAAGACAGCGTGGTACTGGAACCATCTGATAAGTGTACAAACTTGCGTGTGGGCTGATCCCACAGTGGAATGTGTGTTTTAAATATGGTAATATTATTATAAGAAACATATACCAGAAAACAAACAAAATGACAAGACGGATACAAGTCCAGAACTGAGAGTCAGCCTCCCGGACTGTGTTAGATGCACAGAAACAAAGACACAATCCCCTCAGAACACTGAACCAGTTTCCTTCTAGAGTGAACATCATATTAATATCTCAGCTTTTAAAAAGTTAACTAAATTTCACGATTTATTTGGATTTATTTTTCTATGAATGTCTTTTCCTGTTCCAGGATCCCATCCAGGATATCGTATTGTGTTTAGTTGTCCTGTCTCCTTGGGCCCCTCTGGGAGATTCCTGCATCTTAAACAGAGCTTAAGCATCTGCCATTGGACTGTGATTCCTACCCAAGACCCTGGGCCACCCATCCCCACGGGAGGTTGAAGACACTCACCCTGGGTCCTAGGCTCCTGGGGCCCGCCTTGATCTGCTGTTGGGAGCAGCACTGATTTCTGTGTCCCTCCTCCTCTCACAGGAGTACGGGATGGTCTCTGAGCTCTCCACACGGCTGTCACCTGGAAGTTAGTGCTCAGAGCCTGTGGCAGCCCAGCCCATCTGGTAGCTTTGCTCTTAGCACACGCCCAGTCTTGGAGTCTTCTGGGGTGACTGACCTCTTGAATGAGTGGCCTTAGATGGCAAACAGGCTCCACCCAACTTTAATAACTTTAAAGAACCAGGAGCCCAATGCTTTTATGTTGGCCTCAAGTAAAGAGAAAACATCCAGACCTCCTTGCCAGCCCCAGGGAATGGGCTGGAGAGGACCCTTGGTCTGGGGGTTCCATCATTGCAGGGGGATACGTGTGTGCCCTCTCCAAGCCTCTGTCTCCTGTGTTATCAATATTTAACCACAGAGCAGGGAGCCAAACCTGGCCTTTTATAGCCTGTTCTTTCTCACAGTGAAGGTCATGGCCTTGTATGAATTCCTCACAAGAAGCTATAAAAGAAGACCTTTGGAGGGCAAGGGCTGGGGAAGGCAAGGCAAGTGAGGCTGTGTGAGTAACACAGAGTGGGGAGGCAAGCCAGGCCAAACAGCACGGAGGGGGGAGGGCGTGGTACGGAAGCAGGAGTAAGATGTTCCCCCCGCCAGACCAGACCCATTCCATTCTGATCATCAGTGGGCTCTGGGCTTTCCCCCCCCCGCTGGCTCCCTGCATCGGCAACAACCTTTGATGTTGGTTCGGCAAGGAGCAGGGTTCCCGTTTCCCAAATGAGGTAACAGAAGTTGAGTGAGGTCAAGTGACAGGTGCAAGTTCCTCTAGGAGTTAAGCACAGGTCAACAGTGTGGACAACTGCATGGTGCAGAGAAAAGGAGAAGCAACAGGGAACCTAGGGTCTGCACAGAACCCCAGCAACTCATTATTTGGTAACCCAGTCATTCATTCATTCATTCATTCATTCATTCATTCATTCAATAACTATTATTTGAGTATACCTATTACACAGATGACATGGTAAACAAGACAGGCGAGGACCCTACTCTCCTGGAGTTCACACCCTAGGGGGGATATACAGGCAACGAAAAAGTTAGCAAAAACATAAATAAGAGAACTGCAGCTAGTGAAAATGTCTGTGAATAATTTAAACAGCAAAATAATATAGAAAGAGATGGGGTGGGAGAGCTATGATTGCTATATTCTTATACCAAAAACTGAAGGATGAGGCGTTAACCAGGCAAAGACCTGGGACAGCAAGTGCAAAGGCACTGAAGAAATAACGAGCTTGAAGAATCTGAGAAACAAAAAGGAGGGCCCTGAGGGCCCCTGTGGCTGAAGCGGGGTGAGGAGGGAAGTGGCGTGGAATAAAGCTGGAGGGTGGACGGAAGCAGATCTTGCAGGGCCTTGTAAAACAGGATAAGGAGTTTGGATGCAATGAGAAGCCACTGGAGGGTTTTAGGCAGGGAAGTGACATGATCTGACTGACATTTATCTAAGACTACTGGCCTGCTGGGGGGAGAGGGGCGGGGAGACCTATGGCGAGGCTGTTGCATCAGCCAGGCAGGAGATAGTGGGGGTTTGGACCAGGGGGTGGCTGTGAAGATGGTGAGAAGGGGTCAGATTCAGGGTGCACTTTGGAGAGAAAGGCAGCTGATAACTTTCAGTAGAGCGGAACGCAACACTAACTCTCTTAAGCACCAAAGGAATTCGCAAGGTAACTATTGGCTCATAAAAGTCCAAAATTATTGGTGCTTCAGCACTGACTTGATGCCTGCATTTGCAAAAGGGCCGCTGAGAGGAAGAATGGGCATCCAACGAGAAGCCATCTTTACACTGAAGTGAATGATCCAATGCTTTTTCAACAGACACGTATTTTGCTGGGAGCCCTTTCATCTTCTCTATACTGCATTTGAGACTTTCTGTGTCATTGGCCCTTCTTCCGGACACTTAATACTTTCTATGTCTTTGACCCCTTGCTTCTGGTTACAGTATAACTAAATATCTTCTTCAGTCCCTGAAAAAAATCAAAGTCCAACAGCAGAATAAAATCAAAGTCTCTCAGCCTTGCCTTTCAATTACATGAGGTATTGAAGCTTAGTCATTCCCATAAATAGCACTCTGAATAGCCTCGTCTTGAAGAGGACGTGCTCAGTGTGTTTGCAGAATGTCAAACAACTTGGTAAGTCAGCATTATGCGTTACTTTGTCTGAATTTTGTTGCTCCCACCTTTCACACACAAGTCAACATTCTTTGAGGGAACAGAGGTGGCATATGGTTGGCCCCAGTATGAAAGAAAACCCTTCAGGCAATTCCGTTAGGACTATTTCATTAGTCAAAGTTTTATTACAAACTTGCTGTGAGGGGAAAGGCCTCTGGTAGGCCCACTTTAGAATTCACTTTTGGTGAATGGTTAGACAATAGCGATTAAACTAGATTTGCTGAAAAAAGAATGTTCGATTAAAAGGTCACTAAGACTCTTGACTGCTGTCAGTTGGGTGAATGGGTGATTAGATTTCCAGAACAAGTCTTAATCCTCTTAAAGTTTATCAGAAAAATTTCTAAGCATTTAAACCAGGAATCATAATTTATTTCCAGAAGGAAGTTGTGAATTAAATCATTTAAAATCATTTCCTGGATCAGATTTGGGACAATTTTTCTTTCTTTTACTTAAAAAAAATTTTCAGAGATTACAGTTGACATTCAATATTATATTCATTTCAGGTGTACAGTATAGTGTTAGACATTTATATAACTTAAGAAGTGATCTCCCTGATAAATCTAGTACCCACCTGGCACCATACCTAGTTATTATAATATGTATTTTACATCCCCAAGATTATTTTGTAGCTGTCAATTTCCACTTCTTAATTCCTTCACCTTTTTCACCCAGCCCCCAACATCCCCTCCCATCTGGCAACCATCAGTTCTCTGTATCTATGAGTCTGTTTCTGTTTTGTTTGTTTCTTTATTTGTTTATTTAAATTCCATATATAAGTGAGATCATATGGTATTAGGACAATTTTTCTTTTAAAGCCTCTCCTTTTGGCTCAGGTAATTTTTAAAGATCTGTTTTGGTTTAGAAGAATAACCCTGGCTGGGTAGCTCAGATGGTTAGAGCATAGTCCTGATGTCCCAAGCTTGTAGCTTTAATCCCTGGTGAGGGCACATATATGATACAACCAATGAATATGTAAGTTAGTGGAAAAAAAAAATTGATCTCTCTCTCTAATCAACAAATAAAAAAAGAACCTCTGTGTTATTTAATTTTCTGCCTAGTTTATAACTTTTTACATTTTTTAACAAATGGAGGCAAGTAAGCATACGAAACATACACAATCATTGTTGCCAGAAGTGTTTGTATTCATATTGATATTATTTCTTTGTTAAACAAAAGCCTTCATGATCAAAAGGTTTTCTGAAAGGAAGGGTTTACTGGGCCATGTGCTGGCCAGAAAAAGGACCAGGTCCTGGGACATACAGTCTAAACCACCAGCAGCAGGGCTGGATGGAGGAGACAAACATGTCCACTGTCCTGGAGCTAACCGGGCTCTTTAAAAGGTGAAGCGGGGCAATCCTAGGACAGGAATGAAAAGGAGAAACTTCTGAGATGTCCTGAATTAAATTACAGCAGGCCAGAGGGTGGAAGGGAGAGAGACAAGAGGTTTATCAGTTAACTGCAAGGCAAAACCAATGAAGGACTGCTTACGTTACTGAACGCTGAAACTCCGGATTAACTTCCAGGTGGCTATTTCTGCAGTTATCTAAAGAGAACAGCCAGGAGCCACTGACCCCCGCCGGGGAGCCCACGCTTCTTGCCTACCCATGAACTTTCCAGACTGCTGCCCATAACCAATCTTAAAGAACAAACTTTTTTTTTCTTGGACTCTGCACCTATCCCAGAACTAGCCCTACTTCATCTTCTCCCATCCCCTTTATTGTTTCAAAACAATTTACATCTTTCTTCCCCTACTTGGTGTATAAAGAGCCTGTCAACTCCAGGACAGTGAACATGTTGCTTTCTCTCTCCAGCCCTGCTACTGGTGGTTCATGTCCCAGGACCTGTTTTTTGGGGGTTTTTTTTGTTTTTTTCTGGCTAGCATTTGGTTCAATAAACCCTTTCTTTTTAAAAAGCTTTCAGCCATGAAAATTTTTTAACAGGTGCATATTCCATAAAGAAGAAATATTTACTGCTTCTGGATTGGATGCAGGCAATATTTATACTTCCTTTGGCTTAGGGTTGACTGCCAGCAGCAAAGGGATGCTTCCTTATTCCTAAGCTGCTTCTGGGTCCTGTAGTCACATCTGGCTTCCTTCAGAAGTCATGGGACCTCTCCAGTCTCTCTCCTTTCAAGGACACTCAGCCCCCTCGGCCCAGGCTGCCTCTTTAGCTCTTCCCTGGGTCCGAAAGGCATCCCAGTCTCCTGGTGGGGAGAGTCAGTTGCACAGAACAGCCTCCTTAGTGTTTCTCTATCATCTGTAAGAGCTGAGGGGCGAGCGGGATGGCCAGCGTGTCCCGGTCTGTCCCCAGCGGGTGGCCTTGCAGCCCCAGCCCTGCTTTACAGAGAGGCTGGACAGATTTGGGAGTGACATCTACTTACACCACAAAGGACAGTAACAACACAGATGGCCTAATTCGAATCAGAAGCTCCCCCGTTTTGTGTCGGCCTCAGGGTCAATGACTGGAAAGGTGGGTGAGCAGCGCCTCCTCGCGGACTTCTGCTGCAACCGCAGGCGAGGCGGCAAGAGTACAGTAATAGTACCATCCCCACTTTACAATTCGGGGAAACCGAGGCTCAGTGTATTTATTGTTTCAGGTCACGTAGCTGATGAGTGGTAGATCCAAGTCGTTATGATGACAAATGAGCTATGATCATCCTACAAGATGTTTCCTCCTCTCAAGCTTCTGGTTCCTACCAGTCGCTGTGTGGTCGGCAGAGGGCGCTGTGAACAGCTCGAGGCAGCTCGAGGGGACCGCTGTGAAGAGCTCGGGCTGCTGAAAATTAAGTGAAGTATATGCAGGCTCTCTAACTCAAGGAGAGAAGTGACATTAACACAAATATAAAGAGTCACACTTTAGACAGCAGCCAGGTTCTAAAGTGAAAACCCAATGACTATTTGAGTTGTATTTATAGGTCATGTTGTATGGGAAAGACCGTTTTGTGAATTTTAGAATCATATTCCACTCACCCTAAGAGAAGATACTGCAAGAGAACTCCATTGAAAGAATACGAGGTTTGGGCTCCCATCTCTCCTCCTATACGACCAGATGAGCAGAATCACTGGAAATACAGTCTTTCCCTTCCTCTTTGCCTCTCTCTTTTCTATTCAACACACAGATGATGAATTTGTCAATGTCTATGCAGACATTAGACAACTTCCCTCAATAACTCCGAACTGTATGAGAAGCAGAGGTCTCCACAGACCATTAAGGGGATGCACGCACAAAGACATTAAGTCCATACAGACAAGAGCTCAGGGAAGCATGTCTAAACTTGGTGTTGAAGAATGAATAGCATTTAGAGAGCAGGGGGGGTGGGAGGACATCTAGGAAGCATGAGCAAGAACACTGGAGCAGGGATGTGCAGAGCTCATGATTTAGAAAAAAGGACTGGTCCAGGGTCACTGGGTCTAAGCCTGTGGGATGGGGAAAGTTGATGAGAATGAATAGAAAGGAATCTGGTCTCTCTATAGCCAGGATGTGTGACCACATTCAAGGAGGCCACTGCATAGGCCTCGGGAATACAGAATCTGATCACTAGAGGTCCTTAGATGTCTTCTAAGAGCAACCCCCACCCCCATCGTTTTCCCTAAGAATCTCCTCTCTGGTATCCCTCTGTGCGGGAGGAAATCCACAGGGTAGGGGATAGAGTAGGGCCTTTGATTCACCAGAGTGACTAGGAGAGCAAGTAATTGAGCCTCATTTTCCTCAGGTGCAAAACAGGGACATCGACTTCCGTAGTGCATAGGATTGCTGTGAATGCCAAGTAAATAGGATCACGCTTTGGAGCTACATGGGATAGGTGCGAGGACCTTAGGTAATTAACTTCACTGAGCCTCAGATTCTCTTCATTAAAATGGTTGTGATAATATCTACCTGGTATGATTGATATGAGGATTAACGGAACTAACCGAAACCCTTAGCCAAAGCGTGGCATATTAAATTCGCAGGATTAGTTATCAAGGCTGAGAAAATGACACAGAATTACGGAAATAAATGAGATTTCACATGATTTGTTCCAAAAAGAGTTATTTGGGAAGATTAGGTAAATCGTGCAAATAAATGCAACAAAAATCACGGGGCTCTTGAACCGGCAGATTCCTTCCTCTCCAACCCGAACGGCCACGCCTCCACCAGACAGGCCCCGCCCCAAGCGCTGACAGGCCCCGCCCACCGGGTTTCCTTCCTGGCCCCGCCCCTGGAGCTTAGCTCGCAAACCCTCACCCCAACGCGCCTGCGCAGGGT